TTTGTGAGTACTCATTGGTGATATTTTATAGATATAAAGATATAAAGTATGCAGTGTAAAGAAGAAGAGTTTTAAGTATTGAAAAGAAGAAATGAAGAAAGACACAACAAATAGATGTTATCAAAGAACTCAAGAAAAAAAATATACGGATATATGATATTATTGGTAAAAAATACTTTGATAGAAAAATAAGATCACAATATTTGTAAATACTATGTTGCAATGCATACAATAGATCAATCTTAAGGAAAAAAAATTGAAATGAATGAAAGGCCTTTGATAAGAAAGAAATGACAATGCTCCAGAATTCTACATATAAAATTTACTTTGATACCATGAACAAAACAACAAGATGAATCATAGATGAAGTAAAGCAAAAGAATCAAAAAAGTAATTAAAAGAGCACAAAAAGGATAATATTCTTAATTGACATACTATTACAAACTTCTAGAGTATAAATATATGTATTAAGATCTTATACTTTCAAATCTTAGTATAATAGTGTGACATTGACTTTTCATCTATAAATAAATGAAAATAAGATGATATGGTGTAATTATTTTTCCAAAAATGAGACATATTGATGAATGGATGCAAATTAATTAATATTTTTAATTTTTTTTTTAATATTTTGGAATAAATTTAAACCTAAAATAAAAGAAATATAAGTAATTAAAAATATGCTTATGTTTTTGGTCAGTAATAAAGACAAAGTAAGAAGATTCTACTATATAATTGAATAGAAGGATGAAAGTTAAATACAAATGATTGTAGGATAAGATAAGAATATAAAAAAATGAGTGTTATGAAACTTATTGATTATCTATAATGTTTTATGGTAAAAATTTGGTTGTTGTTGTTATAGTATAATGTAAGTTTTGTTTATAAATATTAAAAAATAAAATAAAATTTGGTAATGCAAAGATCTTATAGAAGTATGGACCAGATTTGGTAGAAATATGATTTATTTATTTTTATCTATTATTATTAGAATAACTAGGATATTTTTTTCTTTACAAAATAGAAGAATTAAATTAATTTTTTTGAATGTAAATTATATTAGAAAGAAAAAAAGAAATGAAGGTGATAAAAAAATTAATTCAAATAATTTAAAATTTAAAATAATTATTAAACAAATAAATACATAGATGTATGAATAGATATTCTATATTTTTTATGGATGTATAAAAATAGAAAAATATCTATGTTACTAATACAAAAGATATATGTATGATTTTAATGGTTTATTGTTAAGAAATACAACATCCAAATTTATGTCAAAATAAACTAATAATAGTTTTTGCATGTATTGATGATTTTTAGCTAAATATCTTTGATTTTTTTATATTTAAATTATTTCTAATAAATTTGAATTAAAATGGTTCATTATTCATTCTTAAATATTCAATTATATATATATATTCATAAATTTATGTATAATAAAAGCTTTTGTTAAATAAAGAAATAGCTATATTACTTTTATTTTTTTAAACTATTACTTACATATTTCTTTGAGACTTTAAATTCCATAGGATTCTTTATTTTATGTTTAAAGTGTTTATTTAATTATACTAGTAATATTAAATTATTGTATTTTAACTTGATTACAATTTATATTTAATGGCTGATTTTAAAGCAAAGTAGAAAATGTAAGATGCTCTTTATTTTTATTTTTATTCATGATGCAACATCTTTTTTACTACTAAATTTTTATAAAATATTACTAAATAATTTAGTATAATATGTATTTAAAATCTATAAAAATTATTAGTAATATCAATTATTTATATATTTTTTATTATATAATAATATAATAATATACATATATAATTCTGTATTTTAAAAGTATAATTATTAAATATTAAAAAAATAATCAAATTTTATATTTTTATATTTTAAAAAAGAAATAAAATAAACATTGGAACCTTGAACTATAAAGTAGGATAAGTGAATCCATGTCATTGTTATGGATAATATACAAAAAATTAGTCAATTTTATTCAAGAAACTACTTGTTTATGCATAAAAAATTAAATAATATAAATTTACATTAAAAAGGACATTTAAGGATGTACTAAAGTCAAATTTTGGAAACATATGCCATTGGCCATAGAATCTCAAGAATTTAATTAGGTACCTTTGATGTTTATATACATATCTATGTTTATACACACAAGAAGAATGTATTATCATTGTTATTACTAAGTACAAAGTAAGTTAAGGATCTTAAACCTAAATTAGATTGTAAGAAAGGTATTATTAAGACTACAAATGACCAAAGCCTTACTCTTATATATACTACTTAAGAAAATGATCATGTGGTGGGTTCCTAAAAACCATGAAGCTTGAGGGTCAAGTCTCTAAATTATGGGTTGTTTTTATAATGGCTTCTAAAATGCAAAAGTATAACTAAAAGAAGTTCTTATAGCCATAGAGCATATCCAAAAACTCTTATATATCACATTAACCTATAACATAGTATTGTTGCATTAATAACCAAGCTTTATTAAGTTTTATAATTTTATTAAAATAAAGCTAAAACCTACTTTTAATTTTTATTTCCATAATAAATTTAGGAAATATTACTAACATTTTATTATTTGAGTTCTAAAAATATATTTTATAAATGATATAATTAATATGTAAATAGTTTATGAATATTAAATAACTTTTTTATTCAATAATTAGACTTATCTTATGATTACTTTGTCATATTTTAAAACCATAGTCTCAATTTATTTATTTTTATATCTACTTAGCTTGATCATCTTTATAGAAGTAATAAACAATAAAAGTTGTATATTACAAAAAAATTGGTGATTGATTCATAAACAATTTTTTTGATGAAATAAATACAATATTTATTGGTTAAATAAAATATATCTATATTCTAAAGGTATACATAAAATAATTGTAGAGAGCCTTGGAGTTGTTTTAGATTTAAACATAAAGATAGAAAATATGTTAAGAATTTAAAATTATTATATTAGTTAATACTATGTAATTGATTTGGATAAGAATAAAATCTTGTATCTGGTGTAGAATAATTTAGTTCATGGTTTCTTTACAATTTGAGTATTAAAGTATTAAACAAAAAATATTTTTATATACTAATTAGGTATTGTCTTTCTACTTTATATTAACTATCATTGGTATTAGACAAATTTTAGGTATTGCTAATGCCACCACACTTATTTGTTACTACTACCACAGCTTGCCATCCATTCAACCTGTTAATTTTATTATTTTTAATACAAATATAATAAATATGTATATGATATTATCATTACTTTATACTAAATATATACTTAAACTTAACACATTATAATATTATAACTATATATTTTTAATGCTTTAAGATTATTATTATTTTTATCATAATATAATAATATTAAAATTTAGTTGCTACTAATCTAAATGGTAGCTATAAAATTTGCACTTTAAATGTGCATTCAACATACAATTCTTTTTGTATTGTAAAATAAAATTTTATTTTTGATTATTTTGTAAGAGCAAACTTAATAGATAGAGAGGATTGTTTCTCTTAATATTTTGATAACATTTTAATTGTTTGAAAATTAATTTATTAAAAAATAAATTTGAAAAACATTAAGTAATAAAAAGCTTGTACAATATGCATATGGAATGGTTGGAACATTCAATCATCCATTTACTTATGTTTATAAAAAATTCATCAATATTGATATCAAACTAGTATGTTTATCATGAAAAGCAATTTGTACATTGCACCACAAAGTATATATATTTGTGTTTTACTTTTATATCCTATTTCACAGTAATTTATTATCAATTCAATTTTCATAAAAATAAACAAAACAAAACAAAACAAAACAATTTGCATTTATGTTTAATGCACTATGTAGAAATAATAGTAATTAATACTTTATTCTATCACAATCTTTTACTTTACTTTTATGATGTTAATTGCCTTACATAGTATTAACATAAAAATTTCACCAAAAATTATGTATCCATACATACTTAGCACAAAATTCAACACCTAATACAGCACTGGTTTATGGTGCAAACTCAGGATTTGTTTTTAATTGTAAACACAATTTTGATTCTTCCCTTCCATTATAGAAGTTTGAATACATATATACTTTAACTTTTTTCTGTTGTGCTGTTGGAGATAATCTATTAATGTGTATGACAAGGTGGTTTCTACATAGAGTCGGATACTCGAAAATTACCACAATGGCGCGGTAAGTTCAGGTATTATTACCACGAGTCAGTAATGCATCTTGGTAAGGAAAAAAAGAAAAAAGAAAAAAAGAACGCTCATTCCACTTTAAAATTTAAATTTAAAAACCTGGTCAGTAACGAACCAACGAACGAATGTTGTCCCTCACGGTCATCACACACACGTCGTCGAACAAAAACGACAAATGTCTCATTCATCCCTGGATGAACTCGGCAGACTGCGAAACTGGAATACAATGGATGAATCATCTATCCAAGGAAGAAAAAGGTGAAAGACCACCAAGTTCATCTACCCAGACATTCATCCATCCATCAATACATCCGTCCTATTGTATTCATTATCCATCATTGTCGCCCTGGATGGAAGCGCGCGCAGATGCTGGCGGGGGACCTGCGGGGCCTGGTGTGTGCTCAGTCCCCTTCCCTTCCATTCCCTTTCCCTTCCCTTCTTTCCCTCTTCTTCCTTCTGCCCGTGCCCTTTTTGCAGCCAAAAGGGGCCCGCCATCCCTTCTTCCCACTGCGTTCATTATCTCGCCTTCGCTAGGGCTCCCTGTCGCGCATTTCCGATGCGGAAACGACGCGGAATAGCTATTGTTTGAGCGGGTTTCCTTGCACAGGCTCTGGTCAGGGTGGCATTGGGCGAAGGAGACCTTTGATTCTGATTGCTGGCAATTCTTATTCTGCATCTTTTGATGGTTCCCGTCGAGTTTCTTCCGCCGGCGATATCACATTTCGGCCTGTTGTTAACCTGAACTGGCGGTGAGAAGTTTGAGGTTCCTTGGAGGGCGAGTTCCGGGGCTTGGTGTAGGAGGGAGGGAGAATGCAGTCGTGATATGTGCGTGTGGACAGTCGCAGAAGGTTTAGACGCTGAGGATTGGGGGTTTTGGCGGCGGAGGAGGAGGAGGAGGAGTAGAGGAGACGCAGTCGGTGGAAGTTTGAAAGGAACCCTACGTCGGTGACACAAGTGGAAAGATCTCAGCTCGCAGTCTGAGTTTTTTTTTTTTTTTTTTTTTTTTTTTTCCTTCTTTTTTCCCCCCTATTCGCGTGGATGGTGATTGGAAATTTGTACGGGTTATGATAATATTGAGTAGGTCTATTTTCAGAGTAAGGCTCTCGTTGCTGAGTTGTCAAGGATTTTGATAGAAAAGGAGCTGGTTTGAAGAGGGATTGGGTTACCTGTATAAAGATGGTGAAGGATACTCAATATTACGAGGTTTTGGAGGTGCGGCCAGATGCAACGGCTTCGGACATCAAGAAGGCGTATTATTTTAAGGTAGAGTGTTTTTTCCATGGAAATTATGAATAAATTTTAATCACAAAAGTTCCGGCGCGGATGATTCGTCTCTTTCGGAAACTGTGTTCATGAAACGCGTGTTAGCTTGGTTTCCTCTGTAGTCTATTCTGACTTGCAGATGTTTTTTTTTTTTTTTTTTTTTTTTTTTTTTTTTCGGTAGTCGGTGGATTTACCGCGGATAATCATTGGTGAAGAGTAATTCCGATCATGAAGTTTACAGGATATGACCATGCCCTTAATGAGGTCATCCCAGTGTTTCAGATCACGTGCAAATATTCTGGATCTGTCCCTGATAGCCACTGCAATTGCATTCGTTATAGAGTGGCACGTTCATGAATGTTCTTGATTTCGAAAGATACCTTGTGAAAAAAGAGTGACGAGCTGTGAGACAGTTACTGTGCACGACTTCGATGGTTACCACAATTTAGATTTGAGGCTCACAGACTTGGGGTTTATAGGTGGAATTGAAGTGAGAAATCTAGCTCTGCAGATGAATCGTCACGCAGTAACGATTATTTGTATAATTTATTTTAAGCCACATCTGTTATTGTGTGACATTTCTCCACTCCTGGGATTCACGTATCATGATCACAAACACAGTGATTTGTTGGCATTCACTTCTCAATTTTGACGTAATCATTCACGATCTCAAGTGTTGGATGTGTCTTTAATGACGTCTGATTTGTGAGTGACGGGCAGAATAGCAGAATGTTCATTTGCCTGAGCTACCTGGTATTCATCATGTGGGAGATAGCTAGATGTACTAATGTATGCCATCTTCTTGTAACTACAGGCAAGGTTGGTTCATCCGGATAAGAACCCAAATGATCCTGAAGCTGCGCATAATTTCCAGGTTGGTTCTGCAATGTAGTTTTCGCTTGCCGAGATCTTTTAGGACTTTTTTCCATAGAGCATTGAGTTCGTGGATTGATTCATCAGTTTTTGTGGATTTTTGTGGGTTTTTTTTTGTTTTTTGAGATACATGATTTTTGATGCCAACGACGCTCAATTCAAAATCTGCGGAAACATCAATGCAGACTTAGTCTTCTGCAATTCGTGGGATGTAAGCTTTGAATGTAATGCCTTCGTGGCTTGAAGGTTTTAGGAGAAGCTTATCAAATACTTAGCGATCCGCAAAAACGCGAGGCGTATGATAAGTATGGGAAGCAGAGTGTCTCACAGTAAGTTGACTTGACCTCTGATAGAGTTTGGTTTTGTAGACCTTTATAACCACGTCAGCATCTTCGCTGCATCCTGGAGCAATTTCTATAAACTTCAATATTCTTTGCCGGTTGTCAGGAGCTCAAGCCTTTACTTCTTATGTGTTCCCTTCGTTGGATGGATGCCAGTGAATCATTCATTCCCTGCATCATTCCCTTTTTTTTTTGTTTTTCTGGTCTTTGTTCTTTGTTGTGATTGATATGTCTGACATCCACATCGTCATAATGGCTGTATGCATGGTAATGGATCAATGATCCATGTAGAGTTCCACTAGGTGCTGGGAACATACTCATTGTTCTTCCATCTTGTGTTGGGTCTGTTCAGGGATGCAATGGTGGATGCAGCTGCAGTGTTCGGAATGCTGTTTGGTAGCGATGCTTTTCAAGACTACGTGGGTCAGGTATGCTTTTTCAATTTTTTCGGGTTGTGATGTATGCTCTGAAATCCACTTTCTATGCCCAAATATCACTGGCACTTCTAAAATTATACTTTTGCCCTATCAGCTTTTTCGATTGCATCGTCTTTGTTCTGGACGATGTGAAGATGACTTTTAATCTGACTTGCCTTGTCTTGTCCTTGACTTCATAATCTCTGTTGTTTTGGTGACACCCTTACGCAAGTCCTGGTTGGACTCTAGGGACTTACTACTAATATGCTACTTAGCTGCTTCAGAATGTAGGTGAACTCCTTGAAGATGATTATGTTCCCAACATCCTGACAAGATGCATGGAATTTTCTAACTGCAGCTTCTTCTGAATTTTGCAGCTTGCAATGGCGTCAATGGCATCAATGGATACTGGTGCGGATGGCCAACCAGTGGACATGAAAGAAGCTCAAGCAAAATTCAAGGTTACTCAAACTTGAAACACGAAAGATTAGGACGGACCCCGATGATTGTTGGAACCCTTGCTAAATTATAAAGCAGTTGTGATTGATGCGGCATTGTTTCAAGGGTACTCGGAATCTCAGATCGATAACATTCAGTTGGGTTCTGTGTACAGAAAGCGCAGAAGGATAGGGAGGAGCAGCTAGCGAATCTTTTACGCGATCGGATTGACCTGTATGTGAAAGGTGACAAGCAAGGGTTCGTTTCTTGGGCTCAAGAAGAATCTTCACAACTTGCAGAAGCTGGTGAGTACATCTTCAAAGAGGCCGATGTTCTTAAGTTTTTGTTTTCATTTTTACTTTTTATGATGATAGTTTTGGTATACTGAAGCGTAGAGACGTAGATACTGCAGTCATGTCAGTTCATTCTCTGGCTATTACGTAGAAACTGATTTCAAGGATGTTAGCAGTTCCATATGGGCGGATGTTGTATTACGCCAAAGTTTGTCCTTGGGGTAGAATACTTTCGTTGAGCTTGTTGCTGAGACTCATTTCCCCGGTAAATAATCTAGGTGGATCAAAACTTCCATGCTAATGTATCTTAATTTCTTAATATGAATTGAAGTAATTACTGGAGCTTGAAACCACAGTCTATGCAGTTTGTGACTGTTTTGCCAAATTTTTGGTTGTGTTTGACAGCTTTTGGTGAGGAAATGCTTCACACCATCGGATATATTTATGCGAGGCAAGCCGCGAAGGAGATGGGCAAGAACATATTTCTCTTAGGAGTTCCATTTTTAACAGAATGGGTGCGCGACAAAGGTCACTTCATCAAATCTCAAGTTACTGCTGCCGCGGGTATTTCTCACATCATCGTCATACTTGAAAGAGGATGTTCACTGGAGCTTCTATTAACCAATGACACTGACCATGATATTTAAATGCGTTGGTACCCATTGTCTTCATATATCGCACGAAATTAGGCGTTCCGTTTTCTCTCCACCCCATAGCAACACAATACTTTGTCCTAGTCCTATCACAGTCACCTGATTGAATCGAGATTGGAGTATCTGGCCAGGTGCAATACAACTGATGCAAATGCAAGAGGATTTAAGGAAAGCAGTAGAGGCTGGTGAGAGCAATGGAGAAGAAGCTATTGAAAGTTACTTGCAGGCCAAGCAAAAAGTAATGTTGGACTCACTATGGAAGCTCAACGTTGCCGACATAGAGCTTACGTTGTCCCATGTTTGCCAAGCGGTATGATTGCTTATCGAATGCTCCAGTTATGAGCTTGGGCAGTTAACTGAGCTCCTTTGTCGTGGGTTGAGGGAGATAGCCCTTACAATGTCTTTCGCCAACACTTGTTATACGATACTTCAATTAGTTGTACAGGTGTTCATAATGTGAGAATACTTGTGCGTATTTACTACTACATAGGTGTTACGGGAATCTGGTGTCAAGAAAAACGTGTTGAGGCAGAGGGCAAAAGCGCTCAAGAAAATGGGTGGTATATTCCAGGTAGAATTCAAACATTTCTTCTGAACTGTTTTTCGTAACATTGTAAATGATGTTTTATTAGCTTGCGTTTTAATATCAAATTTATGTCAGATGCATTCAATGAAATGCCCAAGCTATATGTTAATCATAAAAATGTTGCTTAATTGCAGTGCACCTAATTTTTTGAGGATCCATAGGATAGGTACATGACAAGGATTCATCGGCATCGTCCCCATAACATATTTCGAATGGTTTGTGTGTTTTGATGGATCAGGGTGTGAAAGGATTCCAGAGTGACCATGGCTTTCGTCGAAAGGATGAAAAGCTTCCCGGGTCGGTAGACTCTCCTAAAATTGAACCAGAACCGAAACCATTCATTCAAGCTAACAGTGCCAGCCTCAACCAGGTTAGTGATGGTTTTTCTCATTCTGTACTTCACACCGCATCTATGGTTTATTGAATTTATGATGTGTCTTGTGTGATCAGCCCTGCTTCTGTAATCCACCAATTCTTACTAATATCGTCGTTTGTCATTGGACGGCTATGTTTGGAAAGATGTTCTTTTCTTTTCTTTTTTCTTAGGTCAGACGCACTGTATGACATTTAACTAGGGCTTGGTATGTTTATGCCAATGTATGATTGTTAAGACCTCCATTCAACAGTTCAATCAAAGGTGATTATGTTGTAGGCGTGGCGTTTAGGTTGGTAAGTGATCAATCTTATAAACAGAACAAAGAGAAGTGCTGAATTTATACGGAATGATAAGTGGTTAGCAATTGCACACAAATCCAGTCCCTATCGTCTCTCTTAACATTTCAGGCATGTACATTTCTCCTTATTTGGAACGAGAAATGGTCTGAGAGATTGGGTCTTCTGGGTGGGTATGTTGCAGGGCAACTCAAGGCTCTTGCCTAAGAAAAAGGAATTTTCAGGAAAAGGTTGCATTTGTTACACGTGAAGGCTTGTTTCTTTCTGATCAGATTTTCCCGGTGGATGTCCAGGCCTCAGGATCCGGTTGAGACTAACTTAAGACATTCTTGGTTGAATGTTACGCCTTCGTGAATTCTCGCCTTCATACTCCCATTTGTGAACATCATCAAACGCAGCCGCTGCAAACCAAATATCTATATATATATATATGCTGATGAAATTGGCTGGAGAGGTCTGAAGGCTACTCTACTCAAATTATATAATGCTTGAGTTTCGTCATCTGCGGCAGCGCAGCGTTCCATAGCAGTCATGTTTAAGGAGCTCCTGAATATTCGCTTTCAGATCTTAATTGAGGTTACCCGTGAATTTGGTTTGCGCCCTGTGCTTGGAAGTTGAAGGCCCTGAAGGTACAGGTTTTGTAGAGTAAATTTTTCTTCTACGTTGTTGGTACTTGTTTGCAGAGGCCATTCTTTTAGCCTTCATTCTTATCAAATTTCTATATTTGATTGTACAAGTGATATTTCTGAAAGGTTGGTTAGAGTCCAAATCCTGCTCATTACTTCATGTCTTATTATTGGACCAAGTTAATAAATAGTCACATTGTGTTCGTTACCGAGGACTACGAAACTATCGTCGATTGTATAATCGTCACGGTTACTTGATGAGGGTTCAGTCACAATTTGAAAATATGGTACAAATTGAATATTCCGCTTAACCTCTGTTTAGTATTTGTGTGATGCCATACAATGATGAAAGAATCGATTCTCTTCATCTAATTTGTGATTATCGTTTTTTGTCCATTCTAACTAACTCGATCTACCCCTCATACTACTCCAGTATACCATTGTTGGGAGTGATCGATCTGCGGAGTCAAATGACACTTTCCCACTTCAGGTACTTCTTCGGATCGAGTTGCTTGGTTGAGGTGTCCATATAATGTTGTGGTTACCATGCAGATAATCTTTGTAGTCCACCAAGTAGCACTTCGAAAGAGTGACCTTAGTTACAGGACAGACCCAATAAATTACCCTATAATCACCCAATAAAAGAGATGTTTGGCCAAGCTCTTTCGGAGACGAATCTGTGCCCAATCTGGGGGTTCATTACCAGAAGCCATTGCCAAGTAGGATCAAAATGAAAGCACCTGCAGAAATCTCGTCACAAGTAACCCTCACAAACAATTACTACACTGTCTTTGGGTTTTCACCTAAGCTTTTCTGCGATAAGTGGAATTGAATTAGAGTGATTGGAGGGTAACCAAAAGTCCTCCAGTAAGGTTTACATGCACAAATATATTAGAAATTTACTGAATATCATACCAATATTTATATGAAATATGTCATGAAGAAGCTGTGGTGAGTGTACAAGACTAAAACTCTTTTAAAGTGAAAGACCGAGAATTAGAATGAAAAAAAAAATCTCGAACCAGTATACAGGTTTAAAATTCACATTTAAAATTTAAAATTTCAAAAGAAATCTACTCCGTTACTTTCTCACAATGCTTCATAGCTGGGAAGGGGGTGGCCTGTGCATCATCTGCTGACCCATGTTGGGAGGTGGAGGACCAGGAGGCCTCATGCCTTGGTTGATTGGAGGTCCCATCTGGTACCCCTGTGAAGATAGCCTTTGATTGAAGCCCCGGGGAGGTCCATCTTTTGGTGGAGGCCCTCGCATACCGGGAGGGGGACTAGGTGGAAATCCGCGAGGGGGTCCTCCCATCTGTGAACCTCCAGGAAAAATCCGAGAGGGGGGCATGGAACGATGAGGACCATTCATGTTTTGTTGGAGTCCTCCAATCTGGTGAGGAGGCCCACTCATCGGAGGTGGACCACGTTGGGGTGGGCCCCACATTGGAGGACCGCCAGGTGCTTGTCCCCCCATATGATACGGAGGTGGAGGTCGATTAGGAGGAGTTACACCAGAGGGAGGTCCATTGACACCCAAAGGCGGACCACCTTTCTGATCAGTGGGTCTTAGTTTGAAATAGAGTTGAAGCTGCGGACACAAAAACTAATGTCAAAAAAGATGAAGACAGTTGCTCCTACCACAAAATGCAACTTCCAGAAAGATATGATAGTGATTGCCGTTCTCATACTACTTCAATCTCTAAATCAACGCTAGTCGAACACACACACACACACACACACACCTAAATAATACAAGCATATGGTTTGTACCGAAGTAAAAGAAAAGCATATGAAAATAACCTCTGAACAACCTACTCAGATAGTTTAATCAGCTTACTGTGAACATATTTGTGTCAGGGTCCCAGTGAGTGAAAAACTTATTTGAGATTTTATCAATTTCAAAGCTAGGGACCTGCGGATAAATTTGAAAATGTTAGATGGCAATTTTGATGCGAAGTACAGATCTCATGGCTTTTAGATTTTGGCTAATACGAAACAAGCCTACTCAGTTTTCTCAACTTTTATATGTTACAATGACGCTTGCTTTACATTCAAAGGTAAACATTAACAACACTTTATTTTAATCTATCTTATTTTATTTTATCTTATTTTATTTTATCAAAGAAGAAATAGAAATAAACACGAGCTCAACGCATGCAGTCATTTTCATTGACCTTGAAAGCAATAATTTCATAAGGTTCTGAAGCAAAAAGGAGATATTGGTAGCGCTTGTCCCAAGCCTGTACCCTCTACATTCACAAACGATGACAGAGCTCAAGGACAGTTTCTTCTGCAGTACCAAGCAAAGTACAACACACGTGCACTTCAGTCCTAAAATCTATATCCACCTTATCAACGTCCAACAGCATCATTATTTCCACCACTAAGGAAACAGGTCTAATAATGCTTATTTGTTTTCACATAAAAACCAAAATATTTGCTTTATTGAAATACAACTATCACTATCCATTCAAACCAGAGTTTTCAAGGATAAATAATACTGAAACTTACCTGTTCATAAGATGACATAAAACGATGGCGAGGCTCAGTCCCCTCTTCAATTTCAGGATACTCAATCTGTCCGATTATGATTGTTAGTTGGTAGCAAATTCCATGTAGAAACCGAAAAAGATAACTACCGCAGACAGTGAATACCAATGAGGCTCACGACATCCATAAAACAAATATAAGCATATAGCACAAGCATACCTGGAAGAGTAGAGAACGCTGTCTAGTTTCCTGATCAAACTGCTTGGTCACTCGATAACCAGGGCGACCAATTTTTACTGAGGGCAATAGAATAGACACGTAGATACAGGGATTAGCTTCCAAATCACCATAGCCAAATCGAACCTCTCTAACAAACATATTTGTGCACCGAAATCTCGCCATGACATGAAGGGCAACCGTTCAAAATAAGGAGTACAGGTAAAATTACAAGGACCTATATAGGTTAGAACCCCTACAAGCAACCGGGTGCATGTCAAGAAACGAGTAACTAGGACGAGAGATGTGAAGGATATCGCGATTATACTGTAAAACTACAGGCGATCCACCTAGTTCATATAATTGCCGCGTAGGGTATATGAAAACCTCAGTTATATCATCCCATCATACTTTAATACTGCATGTGATACCAAGTACTTCCTACTAAACCAACATGATCCCGGTAAATACTTACTTTACCCCTACTTGCAAAAAATGGCATTAGGCAGGTTCAGCAAAAGAAGTTCTTAAAACACGCAACAGTTCAGTTGCAATCGAGGCATCAAGAGTGAAAAATCACCTGTCTTTCGAGGATTAACTTTTCTTTTGTTAGGTTGGGGTTGGGCAGGGGCATCTTTGGCCTCACGAGCTGCACGTTTTGCCAAATTTGTCTGATGCCGCTTGCCTTGGGTATGAGCCAAATAATTACCCTCGTTGTTATGAAGTGTCAAGCAAAGCTTACATTCATAACTGCACCAAGGAAATACCCACTATATTTCAATAAGATAATCGTTCCAGTGAAATGACCTTCCATGCAGTACAAAGAGAAAGGGACAATATCCGTACACATCAGTAACTTGGCAATTGAAAAGAATAAAGATTTATCTAAATGAATATTGAAATCCATTTCGTAGCGTACTGAAACACTAATCACGCGATTAATTTTACAACTCACCCATTACAGAGCGGATACGTTATTCATGAAGTGACGACGAAATTAAACTCTGAATCTGAAGCCTCCAAGTTTGTCCAATCCAATAGCTCATGGAAGCTAACTCCTAGGTTTTACGATATACTACTAAACAAAACTCGGCCTCCGTAAGCCACTTGCATTGTCCCAGACGAGCCAATTGAGTAATTGCACCATCATCGCAGGAGAAGTAATGCGTAGGTTCGAAGAGAAAATCAGCCACTCTAAATAACAAATCCCAGTCCACGAAAACCATGAAAACAAATGAACCCGAAACCCGAAGCATCTGTCCAAGAAGCCACTGTGACTCTCGGCCTCTTGATGAAAGCAAGGAAGAACGGAAACAACCTACCTTCCAAGATGATTTCGCATAAAGTAAGGGTCCTTGGCGAGGTCGATCGTCTCCAACGCCAATCGCCGCAGCCGCTCCCGTCGATCAATTGCCTCATTCTGGTCAGAGGCAGCACCTCCACTCCCAGGTTTGCTGCCATAATCTCGGTCCATAATGCAGTAAATTAAAGCAACAATTTCACACAAAAAAATTACACACAAGCCAGAAGAAGCAGACAGGCCTGTCTCGTGAGGTCAGGATTCCAGCACTCCTGGTGGTGAGAGAGAGGTCTCGAGGAGGAGCTTGACCTCGACGACTCTGCTGCAAGCACTTCCTATGCGGGGGAGCTTCAAAGGCCATCCCAGTGCCGCAACACCACCCCCAACGGAACGAAACCTTCGTCATCGACAAGTCGTTCGTCTGTTGGTTTCTTCGTTGGTTAATTTTTCGTTCGTAGGTGGACGAGTTTCATTCGTCGATGGATTGGCCTCGTTCATTAGTAGATTAGTTTTGTTTGTTTTTGGATTAATTTTGATCATTCATCAACTGCAAAATGAAGAGCATGGATGTTGAAGAAGACAATGTATTGGAAAACAAGTTTGTCCAATTACAATAAGGATTGTGTGGCTATAATCTTATTGTCACATGATATGGCATCAAGTGCCAAATCCCGTCAGATGTAGTTTAGTTTTGTTAGTGTTTTTTCATCTATTGATAGTTTTTTCGTTAGTTAACTTGTTCATGTCCATTACGATTTTACTTAAATAGAGAAAAACTTTTGACTTGACATTTTTGTCAAGTGAAGTCCTGTGAGTGACTTTGAAAGTGAAAGAACTTGTTCGGAGCTCGGGGTCACGGTGCTAGACGATCACAGGTTGCGATCAAGGAATGCAAATTTGCAAGGCGAGGCTGTGTTGCGGAGGTTGTGGCAATGAGATATTGGCTCGGCTTGAAAGGCGACACAAGATTATCACGACATAGGGTTTTGGTCGCGAGACTGTGCAGCGCAATGCTTTGGTACAAACTACAACAAAAACATTGCGACGGCAGTCGGTGGCTAGGGGCGACCAACAACAGTTCACGGCGTACTGCTGCTGCTCAAGGCATCAACCCACGGTGACAGGCTCACCATGGTCAAAAGGGTCCGCTGTAACAAGACCCCAATAGTGAAAGGGTCCGCAGTGACAGGACCCCCATGGTCAAAGGGTCCGCGGTGACATGAATTCCACGGTCATAGGAACCATTGTGCAGCTACAAAGCATTTAAAAAATAAAAAAATAAAACGCATTATCTAGAACTCTTAAGTGTCAAGTTTGGAAGTGCATGTTATACGGATGAGGTTGGATTGATGGCCAGTGAGATCCTTCTTTTTCTAGGTATATTGGACTTATAGTGATCTACAGATGAATTATAAAGCTTGGTGGTTTTGTAGGTGTAGGTTGTTCTTTTAGCTTTTAGATAGTTACAAGTATCGTAGGAGTCGTTTTATGGTGCATACTAAGAGTCGATATTATTGATTTCTTTCACTAGACTACTTAGATAGTAACCACATCGAGGACTTTGGGCTAAAGGTGGATACTAACAAGGCTTTTCAACTATTTCAGCATTGTATACTACTTGAAGACTTTAGATCTTGGTGGTGGACACATTTCACAAGATGGAAGATAATCCTTAGAACATGGTGAAGGATAGATTCTTAAGAAAAATTAAAGACATTTCTATGTCAAATTAGAAAATGAGGTTTCAAACATGGATGAAGGAGAAGTGTTAAAGATCTCTCACTTTCAATGAGTGGTATGCCTTTGAATTCATACCACAATACTTGAAGCATGAGGCGCTCCAAACCTATGGAAAATAAAATGAAAAATACTTACTTGAATTTTGTGAAGAGGAGAATTATTGAGAGGCATGCAAAGAATTTATTTCAGTTTTTACGAAGGGTGAAGATTCATACCTATGGTGAAGGAGGAAGATCCAATCCAAGAAAAAGTTGTCACAGACATAAACATTTATTCCAATAGTTACTTATATGATTAAGTAGAAGTAAATAAATATAGATTAATTTCATAAAGTCTTCTAGAAAAGCTTCTTAGAAGCTTCATAGACACAATTTTGATTTTAGATGTATTTATAGGATACAAACTTGGCCAACAAGTTAACTACGTGTTGGTAGCTTGTGGAACAAGTTAACTCCATGTAATAGCTTGTCAAACAAGCTAAATATGTGGCACATATATAGATAACTTGCCTTGCAAGTTAAGACATGTGGCTAGCAAAGTCAACACATTTTGGAGGTTCTATAGGACATTGCCACATAGTTCCTAGTTAAGAGTATACATGGAAGCAAGAATGAAGCTTTCTTCACTCTTATCAATGCCTTTGTAGTCCTAAGTCTTATTTTTGGCAATACGCATTCAAGTCTAATATTACATCACCTTTTTGAGTGACTTTCTAGTTCTCTTTAATAATACATGATTGTATTGAGATTTTTCTTTCTTCGAGATTCATATATTTGACAATTTGTCAAGAGTGCTAATATACTATTTCTATCGTGTTTTAGAAGTCAGTGGATTATCTCACTTCTATTGTTGTATTTTGAAGGTTCAAGACTACCCACCTTTAAAATTTTTCTTATTTTTTATTTTCTAACATTGATCTTTTCCTTAAAGAGGGTAGATTATTTTTCTTTGTAGAAATATTTATTAGAGGTTGCAGATTATCTTCCTCTAATTTAATTTTTTAAATTTGTTTGAGTTATCTATAGAAAAAAAGCTTATGGATACTACTCTTAATGGAAGTGAAAATAGATTTGTAATTATTATAGATCTTCATAAACTTGTTAACACTCTAACAGTAGAAATTTCATGTAATTGTAATGTGAATCATGGAAGTATTATGCCTACGCCTACAGAAGAAGTTCAGAGTCTGCAGTAAGAAGTTGTGTAGTTAAGTGAAGCAAGTAGATCGACCTCACAACCAAATCCATAGAGTTTTGATTTTATAAATATGACAGGGGCAAAGATTAGTATACCTTAGAAGTTCGATGGAATAAGATCAAAATTTTGAAGATTTTTGCAACAAATCAAGCTCTATCTAAGATTGCATCCTTTCCAATACCCTGATGGATTTACTCAAGTTGGATTCATAGATGCACTTCTATCAGGAAGTGCTCTCTCATCATTTACAACTTTAATGTGAAAAGATTTGCAATTCTTTTATGATTTGAATTCATTCTTAGAAATGTTTATGGCCACATTTGGAGAAAGTGATCAAGAATGAGTAGCAGAGACTAAGTTCTTATCTTTACAACAAGGATTACAATCAACCACCATATATGTTATTGAATTCCAAAACCTTGCTTGTGATGTGGACTGGAATAACAAAGCACTTATCAATCAATTTTAATATGGATTGAAGAATAGTCTCAAAGATTTGTTATTAACAATGTCAAAAGTAGAATCTTTAGAATAATTTATTGCTCAAGCCATTGCATGCTACAATTGATTATTTGAAAGGCATCAAGAATAAAGATTTGAATGGAGAGAAACAAGTCAAGTAATGACGGCAATTCCCAAGTTTTCTAAAATGTATTCACTAAGGTTGGAACTAATGTAAATTCATATGATACGTTTTGAACTTCTCACAGAGCAAGAAAAGACTCAACATCACCAAGAGGGTTTATATTTATATTATGGAGAAGCTAAGCACACTGCCCATCATTGTCCAAAGAAGCAAGCAATTACAAAATGAAGAACACAATAACAAAAAAAGATAATGTATTGGAAAACAAGTTTTTCTAGCTACAATAGGCATCGTGCATCTAGAATCATGTGCAACACTTAGTAAAGGTCCTATTTTCTCTTCAAATCCCCCACCTTATTTTACAATAGATGTATATTTAGGATCTAAAATCACAAAGTCTTTGCCTTATTAGATTTAAAAGCCTCGGCTTGTTTTATAGATGAAGATTTTGTCAAAAATAAAAAAATATCTTTAATCAAGAAAGTTAAATCCATACATGTAGAAGTCATATGTTGGTCATTCATTGTCTTCTAGAAGTGTTATCCATGAGACTGTTTCTTTAGATGTAGCAATTAAAGTTCATAATAGCATAGGAGTATTTAATGTAATAAGATCTCCCTCTAATCTAATTATTTTAGAATTATCATGACTAGAAAAATATAACCTTCAAATAGATTGGATTTCTCATAACTTTTCTTTTTTTGGTAGTATAATCAAAGATCGAGTTAGTGAAGTAGAAGTATAGAAGTCTAGTACATCCAATGTCATGGACATACACATGTAAGCTAGTAATTACATGTATAAATAGGTAGAAGTAAGTAAAAGTAAGTAAAAGTAAGTTAATTCTATAGTATTTGATATAAAAGCTTCTTAGAAGCTTCAGAGACGCTACTTTGACTTTACAGGCATCTTTAATTGACTTTTTAGAATTAGAAACGTGATCAACAAGTTTGTCATGTACCACACATGTTGTTAGCTTGAAGACGAAGCTAACTATGTGACCCACACGTAGAAAAACTTGCCTTGTAAGTCCAGGCATATGTCCTACAAAGTCAATACATATTGGAGGTCCTATAGAACGTCACCACGTAGCCTCTAGTAAGATAGTATATATAGAGAGAAGAGTGAAGCCTTCTTCACTCTTCTCAACTCCTTTCTTGCTTCTAATCTAGCTTTAAGGGTCTCTAGTTTTCTTGGCTTTTGGCAATAGCCATTCCAGTTTCTTTCTGAATATACATATCAAATTATTTCTATTTTGTCATCTTTCTTTGAAAGAAGTCTTACTTATTTATTTGTCTTTATTATATTCTTATTCTTGACAGATTGACAAGAGTACACTTACAATATTAGAGCTTTATCTAATCTTGATTAAGAGTGGATTACCTCTTTTTTTTGATAAGACATAAGCATATAAGAAGTTTTGGATTACCTTCTTCTGAACTGATATTGTCTTTGGTATTTTCTTTGTTCTCAAGTCCTCTCCTCTATTTGTCTTGAGCGATATTAGACATCTTTTCTTTTTTAAGTGTTATCATGGCAAGACTAACTGAAATGAAGAGTGTAATGACACAAATGCAAGAGTAATTGAGGGAGATAATGCTTGTGATGCATCAACTCAATTTACCAGTACATGGAGCAATAAGATTGGTAGGAAGTGAAGATATAGAAATGACTGGAGCTGCTTCAACATCTGCACCAAATCATGTCCTTTTTTCTATGATGAAACGCCCTTCTAGTATTAGAGAACCAAGAATTATCCTATCTGAGAAGTTTGATGGCACCAGATCAAAGTTTAGAGGATTTATCAATGAAGTACAACTTGTGATTGAACTTCAACCCC